CTGTTTGCCCAGCGTGATGTGAGGAGAAGGCGGAGGAGAGGGAGGAGGAGGAGGAGGAGGAGGAGGAGGAGGAGGAATAGGAGGAGGAAGAGGAGGAGGTTTCGAGCGCCCGTCGCTGGAAGAATTCAAGCGCTGTATTTGCAGCTTTCCGCGTATGTCAGGATGCTGTTTTGATCAGTTTGTGTTTGATTGATGTCTTGATTGGGGTCGAGACAGCCTGTATCTTGCCAGCGATGTGGACCAACATTGTGTTTTTTTTGCCAAGGAGGATGGAGGGCTGAAGGCAATGGCCCTCATCCACATCTTAGCTCGCATTCAGGGACGCTTGCGCAAGCCTATCGTTCTCCAGTGGCAAGAGGCTAATCCCAGGCCCTACTGGTGGTGTCCCCACGACGGCCGGAATACGACGCAAGAGAGCGCCAAGACGGTCCCAGACGCCGCCACGACTGCCCAAGAGACCTTCAAGACGGCCCCAAGACAAGGGCAATAGCGGGGATCCAAAGCGACATTTCCAGCCCAGATGCCAAGAGCCCCGGGGAGGCACCGGAGCGCCCACAAAAAAGTCTAAGAGGCCACCAGGCGACCCCCAACAAAAACCAGAGCTGTCCCAACCCCCAGAAACGCCCAAGAGGTCTGCAATAACGTCCTTCAAAGGTATCATCCCCAAGACATCCCAGCATGGTTTTGCCAGGCTCTTAGCGGTTCTCGTGCATCCCCCTTTAGGCAGCCCTGGGTCCTCCTTTTGGATGCCTTGCGCGACTTCCTGGAGCCTTGTTCAGCGATTCCTGAAGCATCCACCAGGACATACGCTCCCGTATGGTGACCCTTGCGGAATGATGTCCATCCTCATCCGATTTTGTGTGGTTGGCTTGGACTGCGCTAGAAACTAATCGCGCGCGAAGCGTGCGTGGTTCTCTTATATATTTCTGTATTCGAGTATGTACTGAAGCATTGCAGACACGACAACAAACTAAATATGCTCGCCTCAGAATGCGGGCGGCCAGCAAGTACCCATCCACATCACAAACATGCATAAAGTTGATTGAAGAACTGACTGCCACAGCGATATGCCATCTTCACAGCGAAAAGACTTCGATTTGCCCGCCATCTTCACAGCATGCTACGGACGAGCTTCGAGCCACCACGTGCTTGGGTTGTGGCAAGGAAGGCTACGGAGGAGGACGTGGAGGAAGACGGGGGATGGGGGAGGGGGTGGGAGGGACAGCATGCGTCGCTCGCCTCTCGGGATGGCTGGCCAGGCTCGCCCACGCAAGCGGGTAGGCCCTCGGCGCCAGCAGCGGGTGCTTCGGCAGCGCGCAGGAGCAGGGTAGGAGGGTGGCAGGAACGCGCCGCTCTCTTACAGTCGGGGCACTGAGGAAGGAACCCTTTTGGTTGGGGAGGGGCTCGGTGTTCCTTAAGTGTTTCGCAGCTTGCCTCAGGTTTTCCTTATGTTTCCGATCGGAAATCGAAGTTTGACTTCTGGAAAAAAAGGGGCCTCGTTCCTTATTTAGGGCTCCTTAGGTCAAGGCCCCGACGGTACGGGAAGGCACAGGAACGTGTCTGGGTCGCGCCAGTCCCCCCCTAGCCCGGCATCGCTCGAGGTTCCCGCTCACCGAGCGCCAGTCAGGGTCGCGCTGAGACCCTCGGGGCACCAGACTGGCATGCTCTCTTCTGGCCATCGACGGGCCATGATTCAATCCCACGATGGTCGTACGTTGGCCAGTTGTTGTTGCCGCTTGCTTCGTCGTCGCCGCCGCCGCCGCCTCCTCCTCCTCCTCCTCACGCTCCTCCTCCTTCTCACGCTCCTCCTCCTCCTCCTCCTCCTCCTCCTCCTCCTGCGAGCCCCGAAGCGCGGTCTACGACACACGCCCGCTCGCTGCCCCCCCTTGAGCTTCGCCAGGAGCGCGAGGGACTCGGGAGGCGACCGCGGGCAACTGCCGGCGCGGCCAGGCCGCCGCAGCCGCCCGCAGCTCGGCCGCCCGGCCAGCGCCGGCGCGGTCCGCGCCCAGCGCCGTCCGGAGCTGGCGGGCGGTGGCCCGGTGGAGGGCCTTTCTGGGCAGGTGGCCCGGTGGTCCGCTGTTTTGTTTTTTGTTCCCGACCCTCCTATGGTTGGGTGCTCGTTTCGAATAGAGCAGTGTGGTCGCCCCGTCTCCTCCTCCTCCCCCCCCTCCTCCCCTCCTCCTTCTCTCAAGTTTCCTGTGTTCCCTTCTCATGAGCTGGCGGGCGGTGGCCCGGTGGAGGGCCACACTGAGCAGGTGGCCCAGTGGTTCGCTGTTTTGTTTTTTGTTTTTTTCGAGCGCTCTTGGCGCACTATGCTCTGGACATGCTCGAAAGACGAGAACGAAGACAAAACGGCACAAGCAGAGCTGAGCATGCTCAGCAGCAGAACAGAACAGAACAGTAGTGATAGGCTTGCTTTCCACCACCACCATACATTGGAGGGGGAGGGGGTCCTCCTCCTCCTCCACCTCCTTCTCCTTCTCCTCCTCGTCCTCCTCCTCCTCCTCCTCGTCCTCCACCGCCTTCCCCCCTCCAACTTATGGTGGTGGTGGTGGGAAACAGGCCCATCACGTAGACCAGCGTTCTGGTGCAGCCTTGCTGAGCTCACGGCCCCACCCGGCCATCAGGGCGCCGGCGGCTGCAGGGGCGACTGCCTCTGCCTCGCCGAGCAGAACCGCCTCGCCCCGCGCGAGCTCGCGGAGGCACCGCAGGGCAGCCTGCCCGTGCCGGCCGCCCGTCTCGAGCGTCAGCGGCACCATGCCCCACGAGGTGCACCCGGTTCTCCACGCGGAAGCCGCACTCCTTCCCTCCTTCCACTCCGGAACCTCGTCCTTCCCCTCATCCTGCCTCCTCCCTTCCATCTTCCCTCCCCTTCCTCCTCCCTCTCCTCTCCCTCGTCCTCTGTGGACAATCGTGGGCAGGACGAGCTGGATTTCAAGGGCATCAGGGCAGCCTGCCCGTGCCGGCCGCCCGTCTCGAGCGTCAGCGGCACCATGCCCCACGGGGCGCGGCCGGCGGGGTAGCGCCGGTTCTTGTCGGCCTCCGCCCCTCAAGCAGTGGCGAAGCGTCCTGGCTGGCCTCTGGGGCCACCAGTGAATGTTCTGAGGACCTTGTGTGGTTTCCACGGGGTGTTCTTAGAACCTTTCTGGCTGGGGCTGTCTGGTTTCCACACATCGGGCTTCTGTTCTAAGAATGTGTTTTTGTTCTTCGAACATGTTGGGGTTCGAAGAGCGTTTCGTGGTAGGCCTACAGGAATACCGGGACGGTCGGTCCCTGCTCGAGCCTCGGCGTTGGCCGCGCCGCCGCGCCCGGCCGCGGCTGCCAGAGCTGCAGCGTCACCGGGCACGCAGCAGCGCACCGGGCTCGTCGAGGTTCGGGGGCGAGGGCGGGCCCGCCCGCCGCACGGCGAGGTCGAGGAGGGCCTCCTCCCTCTCTGTGCACAGCGCTGCCCCGCAGCTGCCGCAGGGGCCCGCCAGCCCGTCCTGCGCCCGCCCGCCCGCGTCGCAGCCCGCGCAGCGCCAGCGCCAGCGGCCCCACGAGGTGCACCCGGTTCTCCACGCGGATTCCGCACTCCCTCTCGCTCCCCCTCCTTCCCCTCCGGAGCCTCGTCCTTCCCTTCATCCGACCTCCTCCCTTCCATCTTCCCTGCCCTTCCTCCTCCCTCTCCTCCTCCCTCGTCCTCTGTGGACACTCGTGGGCAGGACGAGCTGGATTTCAAGGGCATCAGGGCCCCGTTTCTTTTCGGCGCCATCCATCAGCTCATGGTGCCCTGCGCGGGATCCGTCGCAGGCCCCGGGAGGAGTTCCGCGACGCTCGGCTGCCTTCGGATGCCTTCGGCGGTCATCGAACGCCCTCGGAGGCCCCCGGCGGCCTTCGGCGGCCTCTGGCGGCCTTGGGAGAGCGGCGCGGAGGTGGGCGGAAAACGGCGTGCTTCTAGTTCGATGCGGGCATCATTGTAGCTGGTGTATCGATGTGCTCGCCGATGGCGGTGGTCCGTGTGGGCCTCGCGTGGCCGTGCTCGAGGGGGTGTGGGGTAGGGTGGGGATCGAGGAGCGATGGCCGAGGATCGCTGATCGAGGTGCAAGGCTGAGGATGAGGAGGAGGGGGGAAGGAAGAAGGGAAGAGGGAGGATGAGGAGGGAAAGGTGAGGAGGGGGGGACCCATCTGCGCGATGCAGACAGACAGCCTCGACTGCGCGGGCACTCCGTGCGCTGCCCGCGTGAGGTCGCGCGTGAGGGGCCCTCCTTGCCGCGCGGTGTGCCGCGTCGGCGGTCCGCGTAAGCCACCGCGGGAGGCCCGCTGCGTCGCCGTGCGCACGCCAGGAGGTCTACGGTGGGAGCGTTCGTTACTAGTCGTGCGCACGTCATGAGGTCTACGGTGGGAGCGCTCGCTACGGAGCGCGCCCAGGAGGCCTCATACCCTGGAGGGTTCCTTGTCTGATGAGGGCGGCGGTGATATCCGTGGCCAGTCCACGATTGGTTTTCCGCGGGCTTCCAGACCCTGGAGTCCTTACAGCGCCGTTTTTCCCGGAAAGGGCGCCCGCCCAGGGTTCTCGTTTAGGATTGTAATCTGTCCCCGGTGCCATGCGGAGGTGGGCCGGCGGAATTCCGCTTGATAAAAACGAGGTAAAGTCCAATTCGGCGTGACAAAAATGCGTTTCGCGCGTGCCCGCTCGAGGAAAGTCGACCCCCCATCCTGGATCCTCGATAGTTAACGGGGTCCGCGGACCACCGTTTTCCTTCGTAGAAAAGAAGGTGCGGGGCACTTTTAGCAGAACCCTCGAACAAAAACCGAGGTCTGTAGCCCCGACCGCGACGCAGAAAAGCGCCCCGCGCGCAGGAATTCCGAGGATGTCTCGCGCGTGCCGCGTCCCGTGCGCAGCAATTTCGAGGATGTCCTGACTAATTCGTTTGTTTTGCCAGGATTTCTTTGGATTTTGACAGGATGTCTCGAGCGAAACGTTTGTTTTTCATAATTTGTTGAGGATGTCTCGAACGAAACAAGTGTGTGTGTGTGTGTGTGTGCAGGGACACTGCGCTTCAGCCAAGGTATTCTTCTGCTTCATCGTGTGGGCGATCTACTGTCGCCTGACTCATTCGCGAGATGGGCCAAGCCCTATGAGCTCAAGGCTGGGCCCTGCTCGATACTCTTGGTGTGCACTATCCGTCTTTAGCCTGCCTCACGTCCGATCGGCAGACATTGGTTTTCTCCACTGCGGCGTTATGTCTAATTCACACATGCTGCTCCAAGGTTTTCTCCAGTTCCTGGCTGGGCTCTTTTCCATGAAGCAGCGCGCCCGTGTCCGCCCGCGACAGGCGACATCTTCTCGTGATGGCCTTGTTCTCCTTGTCGCACGCCCTGAATGTTGGGCTCAACAACTTGAGCATTTCACTTTTGCCCATATCTTTGAATTTGGTCACCGCTGCCCGTGTGCTCATTTCCCTTCATTGGTGCGCACGGGAGGGATATGCATGTGTCCTCACTTTGAGTGCAGCACGACGTTGCATGTTGGTGTTTCGCGTCAGCAGCTGTTGTGAACCGTCCGTCAGGCGATGTACTTGTTTTTGTATGTTCTCGGCGGTGAGAACTCGTTGCTTGTTGTGCACCACTGAGGCATGTGACCGACATGATTGGAGACAGCAGGAGGTGTGGCGGAGGGCGGAGCTCTTTGACTCAAGGAAGGAAAAACCACCCGGACTGGACAATTGGCGTTTACTAAACGGCCCTGGGCGTTTACTAAACAGCCCTGCCCTATATGATTCCTTATTTGGGCGCGTGTGCTAAACGGCTTCGCGTGTCGGGGTGGTTATTAACGGGGTGGATTTTCTGCCCTCTAATGACGGTATTTGTTTTGCATTTATCGAAGGTCATTCGCTCCTGCTTCCCGTTGTCGACCATCTTGGCAGACGTTGTCTACAAGACGTATGATCCGAAGTTCGACGCGAAGACAAGCGGATATCACGTCGGTAACAAGGATGCCCTTGCCCGCTGAGATCGTCTTGCGGCATACGAGGAACAGAGGGACGAGGGGGATTCAGGCTGTTGTGTACAGCGTGCATCGTCGGCGCAACCAGATGGAATTGCACAATCCCACCGCGTCAGAGGATGAGGAGGAATGAGGGAAGTATGAAGGCTGGCGAGACCATGTCGTGGAAGAGCCGGTCGGTCGATCAGTGCTTTGTTTGGGGGTCCCCGATTTTGTGGTAAACGCTGGCCTTGTGATGGTCGCCACTTGCGTCCCAAGAGTGTTAGATCAGCAGCGAATTTTCACAATCGAGGACGCCTGCGGCGAATCACCACCGCCCCCTGCCCTTTGGAAACGCCCGTGCGGCCAGACGTTGGCCCGAAGTCTGGCCGAGCTATTGGACTATGTGTTTCCCCAGCCATTGTGGACCCCCTCGGGGGAACATTGGGGAGAGGAAGAGAAATGAGGAGGAGAGGGAGGAGGAGGAAGAGGAAGAGGAAGAGGAAGAGGAAGAGGAGGAGGAGGAGGAGGAGGAGGAGGAGGGAGGGAGGAGGAGAGGAGGAGGAGGAGGAGGAGGAGGAGGAGGAGGAGGAGGAGAGGGGGAGGAGGAGGAGGAGGAGGAGGAGGAGGAGGAGGAGGAGGAGGAGGAGGAGGAGGAGGAGGAGGGAGGAGAGGAGGAGGAGGAGGAGGAGGAGGAGGGAGGAGGAGGAGGAGGAGGAGGAGGAGGAGGAGGAGGAGGGAGGAGGGGGAGGAGAGGAGGAGGGAGGAGGAGGAGGGAGGAGGGCGGAGGGAGGAGAGGGAGGAGGGAGGAGGAGGGAGGAGGAGGAGGGAGGAGGAGGAGGGAGGAGGGAGGAGAGGAGGAGAGGAGGAGGAGGAGGAGGAGGAGGAGGAGGAGAGGAGGAGGAGGAGGAGGAGGAGGAGGAGGAGGAGGAGGAGGAGGAGGAGGAGGAGGAGGAGGAGGAGGAGGAGGAGGAGGAGGAGGAGGGAGGAGGAGGAGAGGAGGAGGTAGGAGGAGGAGGAGGAGAGGAGGAGGAGGAGGAGGAGGAGGAGGAGAGGAGGAGGAGGAGGAGGGGAGGAGAGGAGGAGAGGAGGAGGAGGAGGAGGAGGAGGGAGGAGGAGGAGGAGGAGGGAGGAGGAGGAGGAGGAGGAGGAGGAGGAGAGGAGGAGAGGAGAGGAGGAGGAGGAGGAGGAGGAGGAGGAGGAGGAGGCGGAGGCGGAGGCGGAGGGAGGCGGAGGAGGAGGAGGAGGAGGAGGAGGAGGAGGAGGAGGAGGAGGAGGAGGAGGAGGAGGAGGAAGATGAGGCCTCTTGAGGTCCTCTTGGGGTCTCCTGGGGGCCTCCTGGGGCCTCCTGGGGACCTCCTGGGGCCTCCTGGGGACGACCTGGGGCTGGACCGCCGGCACAGGTCACTGTTGTGATTTCGCCCCTGGGTACTCCACGCACTCATCGGTGAGATGGTGCGGCGCTGACTGCCCTGCCCTCTCCACCCCCTGCCCCCCTTCCCCCTCCTGCCGGCGCGGATGCGTCCGGTGCATCGTGTTGACACGGATGCCAGCATGTGATGAGCGATTCTGTAGTCATTACCATCGCTCTCTGCGCCTCCTTTTTAAGCATTCGTTCGCCCGACGCTGCGCGCGTTTGGCTCAAGTGACTGGTAAAGGACCAGAGGCGTTTGCGTCTACTGGGAAAAGGTGGATTCGCCACCTCTCTTAGCGCACGCATCACCACCCATATCGTTATCTTTACTTGGAATCTGATCGCCACGTCGCACAACATCGTTATGGATGCATCCATCCATAAGGTCCATGAAAAGGGATCCCCTGAGTTATGAGATGACAGCAAGGAGCGCGCTCGATCGTCGGGGAATGACGATTGCCAGACGGAAGATCGCGTAACAACTGGAAATATGATCAATAGAGATCCTGACGTTGTGCGTCTTGGTAATCGCCACAGGAGCTGTAACTGGAAAGGTAGACGTGAGTGTGGTGATTCTGAAATGCACGACGAATATTTGAAAGACTTGATCGATCGAAAAGACCCTAACGGGGTGGGTATGGGGGGAGTGGGCCCAGATATGTACAACGTGTTTTCCCCCCCAAACAAACATCAAGGTCCACGACCTTTCCAGGACCTCGAACGACGGAAGAGAGCCCCCTCAGCCCTCTGAGCAAGGATCGGGCATTTCTAGTATTTCGCCATCCATGCCAGGAGAGCTTAGCAATAGTTGCACCGGGCAAGCTAACGAGAGTGTCCATGCGGTGGGTGAGGCCTTGTCGCCAGTAAGCGGGATGGTTGCTTCACCTTGAGCTTATGTCGTGGCTTTCTGGACCGACCTACAGACGAACCCGTATGTTGATCTCGAGGACGGAACAACAGAAATCGCAGAGGTAGAATCTGACTGTCCAGAGGCTGCTGACATGGCAGGTAACGGTGCCGTTGGCACCGGACTTGCTCATTCACTTGAAGGGTATCACGAGGATGCGCATCCGTTCCAGAGCAGGGTAAGTCGTCCGAGACGTTCGAGGTATGTCAGAGCCGACAAGGGATGGCTCCCGAAACGGCCGAGAGCATCTTGCCCGATATCGTTCGCAACTGTAACGATAGGATTGCATTCCAGACGCCCCATGCAGGAGAGGCAAGCTCTAGCTCGAGCTCCTTTTGTTCGAGACGGATGCGAGAAGATGAGCCTGAAGGGGACTATCCCGCCGGGGTGAAAAGACATCGACCACTTCCGACCCAGACGCCGAAGCCTGAAGGCGTCTCTTTGGATGGGGAAGTAAATATTCCCGACGGAATCCCTCCGACGAGCGTGGGTCACGGTGTCATTGCCGCTGGTCCCGCGCCGCCCCCTACCAATATTGTTCGCCGGGGAAGGCCGGAGGAATCAGGTGATGCTCGTCATGTGAGGCCCCATCTGCTGTCCACACCTGAGAGTTCTTAGAAAGGGGACAAGGGGCCCTTCGCGTTCTTCAGCCTGGAGTTTTGAGAAGGAATTGAAGTCGGGGGGTGGCAGGTATATTTCCGTGATGGAAAGAACCAGGAGGATGGAGTCGACCGCAAGGTTGACCGTGTCGCTCGGAAGTCGGCTGTCCCTGAAAGAAAGGTTCTGGAATTCGACAGATCAATGTGCCCACTTCGCCGAGAATCGTTGTCCTGGGAAGGCGGACATTGCCAAAGACCTGTGTGTCAGGCGTGCTCGGGGACATGCGAGCAGCGTAACATCAACCTCCTATGTGAAGCGTGCGTTGGGCAACCAGGACACAACTGTCTCTCCATGAGGCGAGCCGCATGGGAATGTGCCCAGCAACAGGAGGTTGAACGCTCTTTGGCTCGGATGCAAGAACAGTTCGAAGGACCTACCCGTCGGGCACAACCAATTCAGAACGAAATAGCCAAATCAAGCAAGGCTACAGGCTAGAGCCGAGCTGGAGGCAGCCAGAGAAAGGGCCAAGGCTGCAGCAGCGCAAGAGATGGAAGCCCGCGTGAATGCCGAGCGTCGCCTGAGGGAAGCCCAAAATGGTGCGATGGCCAATCGTGCAAAGGTCGCCGAAGAAGCTGCTCGCATCGCCGAGGCGGCAATCGCCAGAAGTTGTGCGGCAGATGTGGCCAAGGCCAGGGGAACGAGAGGAACAGACCACAAACCCATGGTGCGGAGCAAGCTTCCAGGGTTCAGCAAGACGAGCCCTTTGCCATGCCTGGATTAAGAAGAAAAGGCGCATGCAGAGACGGGGAGGGAGGAGGAGGAGGAGGAGGAGGAGGAGGAGGAGGAGGAGGAGGAGGAGGAGGAGGAGAGGAGGAGGAGGAGGAGGAGGGAGGAGGGAGGAGGTAGGAGGAGGAGGAGGAGGAGGAGGAGGAGGAGGAGGAGGAGGAGGAGGAGGAGGAGGAGGAGGAGGAGGAGGAGGAGGAGGAGGAGGAGGAGGAGGAGGAGGAGGAGGAGGAGGAGGAGGAGGAGGAGAGGAGGAGGAGGAGGAGGAGGAGGAGGAGGAGGAGGAGGAGGAGGAGGAGGAGGAGGAGGCTCTGAGATCGCAGTTGCCCCGAGCCGAGAACGCCAACCTTGCGAGGCAGGCCTCGGCAACGGCTGCCATCGCGCAGCAGGCGGGCGCGCGAACCGCATCGGCTGGTGGGGAAACCGCCGCGGGAGTAGCGCAAGGCCACGCGGCAAAGTATTTCCTGTGGCACAATAGGCCTTGTGATCACTGCTCTGCATGTCGCCATTCGTGCTGCCGGTGCCATCGCGACGCCGGAGTCTGCGGGTGCATCCAATGCGTTCAGAAAAAAAGAGAGTGATAAAACAGGGCTACGGGGAAAGCTCGTGAGGAAGGAGAGTTCCGTCGCAGAACAGCGAGAGACATCGGAAACAAATAAGACGGGTCTGAGCTTGAGGTTCGAGTTGAGGCGCTAAAGTAAACCTTTCTGTCGATGGCAAAGTGTGCGAGACGCAGAAGAGTACGTTGCTGGATGCAGATCGGATCGAAAGACGGGGGCCAGTGCCGAACGTTACAGGGAGGAGGTCGTCGAACGGCAAAGGAAGCGCGTGGAAGAACGGGCTAAACGCAGGGCCGCAGAACGGCCTGGAACAATGCAGGCTGGGTTGAGGTCTTTGGAAGCAGAATCGCGGAACCTGGGGGCAACGCATGCCGCGGAAGACTCGTTCAGCACTCGTGCCTATACTTTGTTGGTTTGTGTTTTCACGGGCGTTGTGGTGCATGCAGGCATTGTGACGTACGCGTGCGCTGCGGTGCACATGGCTACTGGTAGTGTGCACAGGCGCTGCGGTGTTCACAGGCGTTGTGATGCACGGAAGCACTGTGGTGTACACAGGCGTTGTGGTGTACGCGAGCGTTGCGGTGCAGCAGAATGATATCAGAGGAGGAGGGGCAGGACGACGAGGATGCGGCGGAGGGGGAGTAGGAGGTGGGAAGGGGGAGGGAGCCAGATGACAGCAGATTCACAGCTTGGTGTCCCCACTGTGGGGGAGGGGGCCTGCGGGCTCTCGGTGTCGTGCGTGGTC